AAGTTGCCCGTTGATGTCGGAATGAACGAGAGACAATCATAATCATGATCATGACTTTGAACGCTACCGAAAACGTCCTGACATTGACAGTATCGCTCAAAGGGAGATGCTTTCTACCAAACGGAAGATCTGTTGGAGAACGTTAAATTGCACTGAGGGATGATGTTTTAGACGGGACCGCGTGAAACTTGAAGAAGTTCTCACCTTTCATCTTCTGTTGTGTACAACATGTGCCATTTCTACTTTACATTGTCATTGTCATCCATCTTTGTTTATGCATCCTCGTTCTTTGGGTTTAATTCTGACCCAAAGCAAACTTCCTGAGATTCTCGATCCCGGCTTCTTCAAGTCTCATACCCATCCATTCGGACATGGGAATAGCGTCTAGGGTCTTTTCGTAGAAATCGATCGAGGGTTGATTCCACTGTATCACGAGTCAAGGTTAGAATATTAGATTGAACGTGATGAGAGTGAAAAGTGACAGACTTTGAGGACAGACCAGTCGATACGACCACAGTTCTACGAAACCCATAAGCCTTTGCTAGATGCAAGAAAGTGAGAATAGGTAGGGTTTACCTTCTCCTGTGCGATCTTGCCTAGTTCACCGAACAAGGCTTTTCCGACACCTAGACCTCTGGTTTCGGGCTTGACGAACAGATCTTCCAACTACCCAGATTCAATCAGATTGAGCTGAACATGATGATCTTGCTTTACTTACAAAGATTCCAGGACGCCCCGTCCAGGTAGAAAAGTTATAGAAATAAAGTGCCATACCCACAGCTCCACCCGGAGCCTCAGGGGTTCCGGTGAATGCTAGAAGGGTGTTGGCATATGGGGTTTCGAAGAGATTCTTGCGGAGCTGGGAGGGATTTCGTGAAATTGAAAGTTATTATTCAAAACACTGATTCTGAACTTGTAAATGTAGAAAAGAACATACGAGGTCTGGTGTCGCCTTGACGGAATCGGCAGCTTTTTCGTATGTTGCCTAAATGTCGTTCAAGTTAGAAGAGGATTCAAAGACAGAACTGTGTCCTCTGCGGCGAGAGGATGGAACATACGAGGTCTACGACTAACTGCAGTATAGTTTCCTATATGTCGTTTCGACGTTAGAGTGCCATCCCGGTATAGATTAGAGCTGTAAATTGCACACGGAACGACACATACCACATCGGAAGGTTGTGCAGGTCTGATGAAAAAAGAAAGTTTAGTAGACATTTTGCTTCGGGAGGTCGAAAGGAGATATGTATACGAGAAGCTGAAGGATGCTATATATACAGCAATTGGCAGCTCTGCTGACAACGGAACTCTTTAATTAACTTTGGGGGTATGACTCGAGTTCACCACGGTCACGGTGAGGGTGGGTAGTTCCATAGAATCGACGTACGTGCGTCTCCTTCGGTTAAAATTGGATGTTGCAGCTGAAATTAGAAGACTCTGTTCAAGTTCAAGTTTTTCAACCCTCAAGAACCTCGAGAGACGTGCTACAATGCAAACGCAGGGGGCAGGAGTCGAACCAACGACACCGTGACGAGATGTCGAAGAGAGCGCTCTGGATTGTGGGATTGTGTGTGCATGTTTGTAGCCAAGCGTGAACCTTAATCTCCAACTTTTTACGACGACGACGACGATTACCGAAAAATCGCTCAACGCTAAGCGTAACGGCCGACGCTCCCATCCCATCCAACAACCCACCCGCTCACCATGGACCCCGCGAAATTGGCAAAGCTCCAGGCCCAGGCGGCTGCTAACAGAATCGGTGCGCCCCCTCTCTGTTTTTGGTTATGGAGGGCGTATTCGGGATTCGAGAAAGGCACTGACGCGGCTTCTTTGGTTTTGGTTTTTTGAATAGGTGGAAAGGGCACAGTCCGTCGCAAGGTCGTGAGGAAGACCAAGCCATCGACAGCCCAAGACGACAAAAAGCTCCAGGGCGCGTTGAAGAAACTCAACGTGCAGCCTATTCCGGGTGTGGAGGAAGTCAACATGTTCAGGGAGGATGGTAACGTGTTGCACTTCAGTGCTCCCAAGGGTGAGTTTCAGTCTTGTTGCTTTACTTGATCTTGCTTTATCCTCCCTCGATTCGTGCATCTGTGTTTTGTTTCTTAATTGACTCCTCCCACTTTATTACTGCTTTCGGCAACATGCCATTGTGTCCATCTTCACCTCTTCCACTTCTTTCTCGTTTATGTTTATATATGATCTTACTAACCCATGCCCTCCAACAGTCCACGCAGCAGTGACCGCCAACACCTTCGCCATCTACGGCGTCGGTCAAGTGAAAGAACTCACCGAGCTCGTCCCCGGTATCCTCAACCAACTCGGCCCCGACTCCCTCGCCTCCCTCCGCAAACTTGCCGAATCCTACCAGGCTATCCAACAGAGCCAACAACGACAGAGTGCCGTTGCTGGAGGTGCCGCTCCTGAAGACGATGACGACGATGATGATGTCCCCGATTTGGTCGAAAACTTTGATGCGGTGGAGGATAAGCCAAAGGAGGAGGAGGAGGCTAAGGAGGAGGAGAGTAAGTTGGAGAGCCTTGAGTAGAGGAGTCTCGTTGAGGGATGAGTGGATGAGTACGGACGGGATGGGGGAGGTGGTGGTGCGGCTGAGATTTGGGGATGTACAGGATGTTGAAAGATGGGGTTTATGGCGGTGGACTTGGTTTTTGGATTCCAAAAAATCTCAGAGTATCTTGCTCTTCTTTTTCATCCCCTTCCCGCTTTCTCTCTCGCTCTCTGTCTGGGTCATAGCATATCACATAAAATCTTCTTTTTTTGCTCATGTTCTTCTCTGCTCTCGATAACTCGCTTCGCCTTCTTCGTTACTTCCTGACCTCGTTCCCTCATCCCGATCCTTTACTTCTGCTCTGTCCTACCTTACCTGACACCTCCCTGCTACTTTACATGCTCGATCATCCATGTTCCCTTACTTTCCGCGCACGACGTCTTCTCCACATCCCACATATGCATGCTCAGTATTCAGTTGCTCCGAGTCTCAGTCCGCAATGATCAATCTGCACACACTTTGATCATTATTGTATCAGATCGCATCGGTATGACGAAATTGATTGAGTAGACAGTCGTCGAGATTGTGTCTTCTACAGTGAATGCTAAACTACGTATTGCACACGGAACAGGCGGACACTATCAACACTGTATACATGATGATATACACGACATAAATGTTCGACTCGATCAATTGTCACCGAGGATGCCTTGAACTCGGTGTCTGTCTGCGCTTTATATTGACCTTATTCTGTGTTGATCACGGTTATGGAATGATCCACAAGTCTCAATACCAATATACATCGGGAGCAGTAAAAAACAAGCGTCAGTGCCAGTGGTATTGATACCAATACTACTACCAGAAGCACTAGAATATCAATCGCGTGCAGTATCCTTGAAGTGGCTTATATGCACAGAGAGATGTGATTTAACTTCTTTCGATTGCATTTGGATTGGATATTGGAATATGTATGTGTATGTGTGTATGTATGCGTACGCGCATCGTACTCTGTCTCCCTTGAGTGAACTAAGATCGGCGCGAGAGGGAGAGGGTTATACACCATCGTAACTCGCTCCACCAGCCTACATACCCATCCCATCAGTCAACATACTTAAACCCAAGTGAGGAAATAATGAGAGCAGAAACAGACCTTTCGAAGTTTAACGACGATAGGATCAGACTTGAGGTCGTCCTTCTCCCTCGCGGGGACTTCGATTGAGAATGTCTTGAGCACTTGTTTCACATCTGCTGTGTGTACCGAGATCTACAGGCGCATGTTTAAGGTCAGTCCACACTCCACACTCTACAGTCTTTCCCCACTCCACTCAACAGAGCGAAAGTGAAAGTAACAGCACAAGAAACTCGGACGAACCTTGGCCTTCCGCATAACCTTACACCCCGGCCCAATCCACACTACAAGAATAAACTTCTCCCGCTTGCTTTCCTTGTCGTTAGCATATTGGACACGGACATATGCGAAAGAGGCTTTGTTGTCGTCTAGTTGGTCTCGGAGTTCGTCGAGACCGCCTGTTCCGGTGGATGTGAGGAGCAGTTTGTCTGAGCGGTCGCTCTGTGTGGGTTTGTGCGTTGTGGTTGTGTTGAGGAGAGAATGGAGGTGGGAGGAGGTGGGAGGCGAGGGGAGAATGGAGAAGGAAGGGGTTAGCTGCCGAGGAGAACGAGTGGGATGGAATGAACGGTACCTCATAATCAGCCAGAAGCCAGTTAGTCTCCGTCTTGTCCGACCGGACATCTTGGTATGCTACAGAAGAAAACACAAGCAATGGTCAGTCACCGACCCCGGTATATGAAATGAGGAAAACGGGAGCAAAATAGGTTCGATTGAGGAACCATCCCTTCCATTTCATCCATATTCAATATCGAGCCTTTACCGCGATTCTTCGGGTCCATCTTATGGTCCACGCTCCCGTCAAGTCCGATATTGAATATGGATATGGAGTCTAACGAATTCCCGAGTGATCGACTGTAGGGCTCGATCTCGTCCTCCGTGCTCGTGAAAGTCCGAGTCTTGTGCTGATCGTGATAACCCATGCCTCGATTGGTATAGCACACAATACCACACAACACACCATACGACTAGAACCCCGACTACACCATACCCCTCGGAAACCGAGAGCCACCACCAAGGATCGAGAACGAATGTCCATGGTAACCACTGAACCGGTACAACTACATACCTTCCTCGATCTTTGGATCAGAGACGTCGGCCATGGTGAACGTATGAAGCTTCAGAGGAAAGCACAAGAAGCGGGTAGGAAGGGAAGAAGAAAAGGGTTTGGGGTAGGAGAGAGTGGTGAGCAAGTAAGGAGAAGACGAACAAGTGGAATGCTATGAGGGAGAGAGTAGGTGGTGATACAAACACGATAGATACTAGATAGCATTCATCGCCTATTGGCTCTCGGTAATCTATCACCCAATCCCAGCGACTTTTCGGCGACTCAATCAACAAAAGTAATCAATCTATGTCAAGATATATTAATGGACATGTCCGGGATTGAACCGGACCCCTCTCGCAGGCAGGTTCACCATACAGCCCTGTTGGTGTTCATGCTAAGCGAGCGTGATAACCAACTACACCACATGCCCGTGTCATGACAACGTCTCTTGACATATTCTACGCGCAGAGCCCTAGTGTTTCCACAGTAGATCTATTGTTTCGCAGATTCAGAGCTACAGAGTAATTTCTTGAATAGATTGTCGAAGCAACAACACAGCTAGGGAATATATCGGAACATAGGAGCCTATTAAACAAGTCCCAACATCAATATTACACGATACCAACTCGATGTGTCCAAACAAATTAAATACCCACCTTGTCTGCCAACTCGTCTGTGTCAACTTCTACATCCGGATTGGGTATTCCATATTTCTTATTCTTGCGTCTGTTATCTAGTCTATACGAGACCTAGACGAGTGAGTGGTCAGCAGCATCGAACTCGCCGGGTCGAGCTCCGAGAAGACTAGGAAAGGAAGGAAGAAAGGGATAGCAAGAAGAATACACACCGTCAAAATAATCCCACAAATAGCAGCCAGAAACTCCAACGCACACGATATCGCAAACCCCTTGATATACCTCGGGCCTTCAGTCGACGGAAATATATGTGAGCCTAGGACAGAACCACATTGGCCGATAGACATGTATATGGGCATGCCTGTCGCTTTCTTGGTTTCCGAACCAAAATTGTTTGTCGCTGTTGTTGTTCAAGCAATTTTGAGTCTATAATTTTGGAATTAATGTAAGGAGAGGAGGGAGACGCACTCCAGGCGATGAGGATCCCGATACATGTATACGTCCCGCTGATGACGCAGAATACGGCAAAGTACCGCACGTGGACGTTTTCGTGGACTGTTAGGAGGAGTCTTTTGTGTCAACCAAGGTTAGTTCGTTCGAAGGGGTGATATGAATATCTCAGTGAAAACAAAAGAAGGAATATACTGACAGATGCCCAATTGCGCCTACGGTAGCAGCAGCACTAACAAAAATCCCTCTAGTCTGATAATGGTCCGAGAAGTGTGAGGTCATGATTAAGACAGCGGCACCAACGGCGTATGGAGGGACGGTTAGGAGTTGGGCACTTGCATCAGCTGTTCATTGAAGTCTCGTTAAGCCACTACAGTACGGAGAGGAAAGTGAAATTAGGACTTACAGACACCGAATGTCTTGAGGATTGTCGGCAGAAACGCAGCGATGGCGCCAGTTGAGCAATTAGCCATGAGCTGGATACCTCCAGCAACATATACCCTCCAATCCTTGAAAGCATACAAAGCATGCTCTACCACATAGTCATAATCAGCTCAAAAAGAAACCAAACCCAAACCCCACAAAAACAATAAACTCACTCTTCACAAGAAACCTCCCCACATCCGGCTTAACCCCCCTCGAACTCCTCTCCCTCTGAATCTCCCTCTCCTCCCCACTCAAAAACCCCGTCTCCTCCGGTCTATTCGGCAGAAACACCAACGTGAGGAGCCCAATGAGGACAGTGGCGATCCCTTCGACGATGAAGAGGAGACGCCAGTTGGATATGGTGGTGTGGGCGTTTTGGATACCGAATGCGATGAGACCGCCGAGTGCACCGCCTATGGTGGAGAAGCTGAACCAGAAGGCCATTCGTCTGCCCATTTCGTATCTTGTGTACCAGAAGGCTAGAAAAGTGTGAGGGTTGTGAGAGAGGAGGAGGGGGAGAAGGGGAGAAGAGTGAGATGAGGACTTACAGCAGTATACTGGGACGGCGGGTGTGAAGCCTGCTTCGAAGATGCCTACGAAGATTCGGGAGATGAAGAGACCGGAAAAGTTGAATGCGGCTGCCTACTCCATTGTAGTTAGAGGACGAATCGAAAAGCTAAGTCGAGGCTTGAAATGTAGAGCTTACCCCCAAAGTAGAAGCAAGGCCCCATCCCATTATCGCACAGCCGAGCCATATACGAGAAGGAAACAATTTGAGAGCAACTGTTGCTGGAATCTGACAAACAATCTAGTATACGAACGTTAGTTTCGGAAAGAATTGAAGCAAAAACAGAGATTGTACGTACGTAGGAGAGGAAGAACCCAGAGGATATCAAATCGAATAATTTACCTGTGGGATCTCCATGTAAAACATCCTCCGGTAAACCCTGTAATCGTCCGTTTCCTGGGTTCGATCGATCCAAAACTGAATACGTAGTAAGTAGCATCAATGCGTCGTCGAACGACCAACTCACAAGCAAAGAAGTATGCGATACAGGTGAGCGGCATAATTCGCATATCCAATTTCCTGACTAGCCTCTTTTCTGCGGTTGTACCAGCCCAAGACGTCGCGTTTTCAGCTTTTGTGTTTGTTGAGACTTCCTTGGTAGACACGGAGCTCGAGTGTTTCATGGAGCCCTTCTCGGAGTCCACGCCGACATCTTTTTCCCGGTCTCGCTCGATTACCAGAGGCATCTTCGGGTCGAATTTCGTCTATGGTACACTTCAGAGGTGACGATAGCAGAAGTTAGTAGGATAGCCTGGTAAAAGCGTCCCCATCCATCCCAATTTCAGTGATCTTATACCAGAGTTTCTCTCGTCATTGCTTCTCTTCAGGGACGAACATCTAAGAGCTATAACGAGAATACCCAAGGAAAGCGCAGTTCCAGCCTTCTACCTCGAGTCAGTTGACAAGTCAGAGTGTGGAAAGACCGGGATTTCGGATCCCCGAGATCGCGTTATGCTCAACGAACACAGAATCCTCGAAGTGTGCTTCAAGTTGGTAGGATTGAGAGTAAGATACCTCTCCGTAGGACACAGTTTTATAGCACGAGACTGATTGAATTGGTAATACCTGCAACAAGTTTTGAAAGTACTAGTTGAGTGATATGTGGAAAGGGTAAGTAATGCGTCTTACAGAAGTACCAGTTCGACGTGGTTGCTTGATTAGTCCGTAGAGTAAATATACCAAGGAAGAGCTAAACACAGGACGCACACACGTCGGAAACCTATATTTGTCCACGACAAAAGTAAAATAGACTCGAGTGCACGAGAGAGTGACCTATGATTGGTGTCTATTATTTGAGTGAGTAGGGACTGCAGGAGGATAGCGAACCCTTGGGTCAGCAGATGGGGTTGTACGAAATATGAGGTATCTATGGAAAGACTGGTCGCACGGTGCGAGTCTCAGAGGTAGCACTGGCAACCCAACTGGAAAGTATCGGCACATGATGTTGCTGAAGCTGAAGAAGCACCTGTTCAATGTACTTACGAAAACTGAGGCAGATAGTTAGACCGTCATGAACTTGAAACAGCTTCCAGTTGGTATAGTAGTAAGCATCAGCGGTGTAAAATTTTCTTACATTTCCTGCCGCGAGCTACCCGATTTGGCAGGAGAACGTCATTAGCGCTCGTAGCCTCGTGTCATGATGATATGGTACTGCTAGTGCGAACCGAATTCAAGTTGCCAAGGAGTTCTGGCGTTCAAGTTGAAGCTTTTCAAGTTACACAGTCGTTGAAACGTTGAAGGTTTAAAACACACTCGGCACTATATCGATACTACACGTTCTGCCAGTGATCCGACTCCGACACTGCCGTCAAGTTTTTGTCCACAGTCCACGTTTCGAGTGAGCTTCAATGATTTCGTTTCGCAGTATTCCAGACTCAATGAATACTCCGAATTTGCACCTGCAATTCCAGAATGAACCATAATCGACCTTATCTCGATGCCAAAGCAAATGTCTGTGCTCAGACTATTTACGCCCTGAGGGCGTATTATAACGAGTGGACGATTATCAACACACTTCCTGATGATGTGCTGTCACGTATATTCCTCCAGCTGCGCGCCATTGTGTGTGATTTGGACTCGGAATCCCGAAAATGGATGTGCACTGCGTCTGTTTGTCGCCATTGGCGTCGAGTTGCCCTGGCCACCCCAGAATTGTGGACATACAATGTGCTAAGGATACCGGAGCTCGTCAAGGTATTCACTCGTCGTTCTGGATCTCTCCCCATGACCTTCAGCTCATTCGATAAATATGGCAATTATCCTTTCATTTGCAGTCCAGACATGACCGAACTTCTTAAGTCTCATCGTCATCGGATTTGCCACGTGAGGTTCTCTCGCCATACCCCCTACTCCCATGATGATGGACCTGAAGATATTCTTAATACGGAACTGCCCAACCTTGAATCCGTCAAGATGAGCAGTCATTTCAGATATAATACTCGGCGCGATATTAGTTGCAAGTGGGTATATGATCCCATCATCGCTCCCCAGCAGCAACCACTTCGCAGTCTCTACCTCGATCAAGTCTTTACACCTTGGAGTTCATTTATCTTTGCGGACTTGCGTCGTTTGGATCTACGAGCCCAAGTACGGGATCACACGTCGACCGAGGCGCCGAGTATGGACACATTCCTAAACGTATTAGAGCATTGTCCGGAGCTGAAATATCTGCGTCTCCAACACTCCGGCCCTACTCTCAATCCTGATGAGCCCGACCCACCTGCGACGGGGCGCAAAGTGATCCTACGCAACCTGGAGATGATCATACTCATGAATGAGCCAAGAGACATGACTCGCTTGCTCCAACATCTTGTAACACCAGAAGACACCCACCACATTCTCTACTATAGCCCGAGCCCAGACTTCAGTAATGTTGGATTAATGAAACCAACTTTGCAGAACCTGGATGATGTGACATCCATTTATTTTGGTTCAACCAACGAAATACGGAATGACATTGACCTAGATGACATTATTGATGACATTCTCGTTGACGTCAACTTTGGACCATTCGTGAGGGACTCGCTGGTGTTTCATGCTTCCGCAGAGTCAAGTGCCAGTCGATTGAGTGCGATCTTCCAAACCATGGACCTTCGGGATGGAGATCATGCCACACTATGCGTCTGCAATCAGTCAAAGGCACTCTTTGAGGCATTACCCATGATGCTCCCAAATATTGCCCTCGAGGAGTTACTGGTGACAAGCAGCTATGCAAAATTTACGACTGCAAGCTGGCGCAGCGTGTTTGCCCATTACCCAACGCTTCGAACGATCAGAGTCCAATACCCAATGACTCTCAGTGACGACTCGAATGACACCGATATGTCCCATTTTCTTCCCATCTTGCTGGAT